TTCACACACAGCCGAGGCCCGGCGCAGCTCCACGTTCAGATCCCGACCCCCCGGCACCCCCCCACCTCACCTTGGTCTCCTTGACGTGCTGCTTGATGCCCTCCGGGTACCACTGCACCCTCACGTAGCCCCGCCGCAGCGGACTGGCGCGGCCCTCCTCCGTGCCGCCCGCCCCTGGGCCGCCCGATTCCGAGCCCCCCGAGCTGGCTGCTCCCCCCGCTCCCCGGCCGCCGCCCCCCGGTGCCGCCGTCGTCGTTTCCTCTTCTTCCGAATCGGAGTCTTCGCCGTGGATGAGGCGAACCAGGCCGAAACGCACCGAACCGCGGTAACGGCCGGATACCAGGTCGTGGGAGAAGAGGAGACGCTGCGAACCGCCCGGAGGAGCCGAAGGGGGTAAAGGCAGAGCGGGGGCCGGGGTCGGGGCGGCGGGGAGCTCCGCCATGGCGCCGGGCTGAGCGGGAGAGCGCGCGGCCGCCGGCACGGGCTGGGGGAGGGGCGGGGCGGGCGGCGCGCGTGAGACGTCAGGGGGCGGGGCTTGCGGGGCCACGCCCTGTGCGTAGCGACGCTGCCGAGGCGGGCGTGGCCGCTGATTGGACACGCCCGAGGAAATGCCACGCCCATCAGGTGGGAGGGGCAGAGCGGAGGGAGGGGGGCACTGAGGGGTGAGGTGTTCTCTTTGCTCCCATGCATCGCGTCGGTTCCTATTGTGACCTCCCCGCTCCTGTGCGGGACATTCGGAAAACGTATGGAATCCTGGGGCAGATCGGTTATGAGGCAGAAAAAAATAATAAAAACCCAGGAGCAGCGTTTTCCCTCTTTTCATCCTTCCCAGCGAGGAGCTCGAGCCCCAGCTCAACCAATGGGCTGCAGCTTCTCAGTCCAGAGCTCCTGGAGGAGACTGGAGGAGCAGCGCTTGGATGTTGTGTACAGCACAGCGCTGCGTCCTTCTCACAGCTCCACGGACATGTTTCCAAGCACGGCTACGGCAGCGATGCTTCTCATCATCCCTCCGATGCACGTTGCAACACTGCTAATGAAATACAGATACGGGCAATAGGCACGAACCGGTGCGCAGATGGAACTGTCCCTCTTCAGAGCCATTACAAGCTCTGCTCCGGACCCACCGAACCCCTCAGACCCCGTTTCTTTTGGGCCCGGTTCCGGTGCGTGGGGCGCTGCTGCCACCGCGCGGCCGCTGCTCGGTGCCGCAGGGTGTGTGCGGGCCGGCAGGGAGGGACGGATGGATGGGTGCCCTGCTAGGGTGCACGGATCCTTGCGGCGAAGCCAGAGGAAGGTGTAAAACGGGACTGGCAGCAGTGCCTTCAAAAGACAACGCTGCAGCTACCCCCAGCAGCGTGACCGCGGAGCACCGGGACAGCCGGGAGCAAACGGAGCGAGGAGCCGCCGGGCTGCGCTCGCGTCCTCTCTGCAAAGCCCATCCCCACAGCGCTGCTCTGAAGATGCTGAGTGCTGCTGCACGGCGAGCCTCTGGTGTTGGCCCTTCGCAGCTGGAGGAGCAGACAGAGACTGAGCAGGCTGCTCTCTCTTGCCATGGTGCTGCCTTCAGTTGCTCTGAAATGCCATTTCTGAACAGCAGAAAGTTTTTTTTAATGATTACTTTTGCTGACACAGAATCACAGAACGGCCCAGGCTGGAAGGGACCTCAAGGATCATGAATCTCCAACCCCCTGCCACATGCAGGGCCACCAACCTCCCCATCTAATACCAGACCAAGCTGCCCAGGGCCCCATCCAACTTGGCCTCGAAAACTCAGCAATGGACAGGGCATCCACAATCTCCCTTGGCAGCCTGTTCCAGCACCTCACCACTCTCTCTGTAATGAACTTCTCCCTAAATCTTCCTTCCCTCGACTTCAAACCATTTCCCCTTGTCCTGCTGTTATCTACCCTTTCAAAGAGTTGATTCCCCTCCTGTTTGTAGGCTCCCTTTAGGTACCGAAAGGCTGCAATGAGGTCACCCCACAGCCTGTCTTTGAGGGATCATCTTCATGGCTCTCCTCTGGACCCTGTCCAACAGCTCTCTGTCTTTCTTGTACTGGGGGCTCCAGACCTGGACACAGCACTACAGATGGGGCCTCACAAGAGCAGAGTAGAGAGAAACAATCACCTCTCTGTTCCTGCTGGCCACCCCTCTTCTGATGGAGCCCAGTTGTTCCCTTTCCAGGAGCTCACGCTTGGGATAATCCCCGTTTGGTTACACTAACAGGGACAAATACAGCTGCCTTCTCTTATCCTGCTCCTCGTGTAACAGCCCCAGGAGCAGCTGGGGGTGCACACAGAAGGATGCATTACGTCTTTCCCTGTCCAAGCCCTGCTCTCCCTGCCAGCTCACCCCAAGTACACAGCAATCAGCTAAATCAGCTTTATCCCCCCGCAGGCAGTCACGCCAGGGTAAAGAAATCAGCCTCAGCTGCCTGATGGGATCCTTTGCCTGCTCGTCATCTTAAAGCCTCTCACCTCGTCTTTCATCATGGTTATAAACCCCTTAGAACTTCATCACGTGCTCCATAAATAACAAATATATAAGCGAGGCTCTGCGTGTGGCTGCAGCCCCATCCCTGCTGTCCCACGGCTGTGAGGAGCCGCAGGATCAGGCTGGAGAGGAGCAGCACCAGGTCCCCATCCCCATCCCACAGCCGGTAAGCCCAGCGTTTCTGGGACCTGGTGGTCCTCATGGCCTTGGGGATATCTGGTGGCCTGTGGGTCGCCGTGTTGTTCTGGGCTATGGGGAGTTGCCTCAGAAGGGAGGGAGCTGGGACACTGAGCTTGACTTGCCTTGGATTTTGGAGGTGAGAGCATCTCTGCGGGCCATGCAGATGCTTTGGGCTCTGTAGTGCACAAACACAAAAGGAGGGGACAATTTTACAACGTGTACTTTGTGTGCTAATAGTACATCTGACATACGGGGATGTGGAAAGGAGCCACAAGGTGCCCCGAACCTTAATATAGCCTGGGTTATAAACAACTATAGAAACATGCAGGAGGCTGTGTTAGAGTGGGAGAGACGGTTTGACGGAGCTGGGAGGAGAGGGGTTTCCTCCTAACTCTAGCTATCCCTCACTGTGCGCCCAGCAGCCATCTCAGTGTGCACATTCCCTGCATGCCAAAGACCTTTGCGTGTGCAGGGAGCTGAGGAGCTGAGCAAAAAGCAAAAGCTCATTTCCAGAAAAGAAACACAACTCCACCAGCCCGCTGGCTGTGTGACCTGGGCTGCCAGAAGTGCCGGAGGGGAAAAGATTCAATGGGAAGGAGCTGAGAGCAGGCTGCACCCCACAGCACTTCTGCTCACGCTGGTGTGTCGGAGTGCTGAGAAGTTTCCATAAGCACAGGGGGTGTCTGAGCCACCAAAGCCTGCTGCAGAGCCCTGATACAATCAGGGGGTGAGCAGATCTGGCAGCTGATAGCAAGCTGTGAATTCTACAAACATCACAGCATTCCTGCAGTAGTCTCATTTTGCTCCCTTCCCATCCATGGGAGCACGAAGCACTCATTCCCAGCACGTGTTGGTTTGTCTCGCACTTGCCCCTTGGCAATGAGAACTGGCACAAGGGATGCTAAATATTTCCCCTGCCCCTGACACCCCTTGTGCCCAAAGAGCACATCCACTGCTAACCCAGCAATCCATTGAAAGGGAATCACAGCAGCACCCCATCTCACCACTTCCAGCACCCAGCCCTCAGCCTTTCCAGATGGAAAATTCCCAGCTCGCTTTGGCTCTGCCCTGTGCAACGCTTGTGCTGGTAATGCTTTTGTTTCTATAAATCCTATTAGCTGGAGGCAAGCCTATAATTAGCAGGGAAAGCCGGCACCTCTCAAACAATAATCAGAACTGACCTGGCTCCATGCTGGCTTTGCTGTGAATTGCTTTGAATATTGGCTGACTGGTGGCTCCCGTTTGGCTGGGAGCTGCTGCCACTATTCCTGCCCGCAGGCCAGGGCTGCTCGGGTTGCACTTCTCTCTGGGTTTATTAACTTGGTTTGATTAGGCATGAAACATGAGGCGGATTTATGACACAGAATCTGACCCAAGCAGAGGGATCTGGCAGAGATGTGTAGGGTAGGTGGTGATGGATGGGACAGAGCAGCAGAGACAGTCCCATGGGCCATGGGACCCATAAGGGCTTTTTGGGCAAGGCTGGGGCTCTGCTTTTCTCTGCAAGGGAACACAAGAGGACTGCTCTCCTGAGCAAACTTCTACACAAGCATTTACAGAGTCCAATCCCACATCTGTTCAGCAAGGACACCCTGACAGCACACCCCTGGACCTCCCAGCCTTTGGGGTGGTTGTGACCACAGGCACTGGAGCAGCTGCAGATGGGCTCATCCTGCCTGCTGGCCTATCTCAGCACGGCCATGATTTAGCCATAGGATTTACCCCCTGAGCAAGCTGGAAAAGTGAACAAAGCCCCCAGCAGCACAAGCATGACACAGAATCACAGAACAGCCAGAGGTAGAAGGGACACAAAAGGACCGTCAAGTGGAAGCCCTGGCCCCACACAGCACCACTCAAACCCTACATGTGAGAGCAGTATCCCAACACTCCCTGAGCTCTGGCAGCTCAGTGCCATGCTTGCTGCCCCAGGGATCTGCTCCATGCCCAGCACCCGCTGATGCAGATCCTTTCCCTAATCCCCAACCTGATCCCCTGACGCAGCTCCAGGCTGGTCATCTCCGGTGCACACACAGCACCGATGTCACCTCTGTGCCCTGGACAGGGACAAGACGCCCAGCCCCAGCTCCATCCCACTGTCCAGACCCCTGGGGCTGGAGGTTGGCTACTTATGCCAACTCCCAGGGGTGACAGCAGGGTTGCCGTGGGTGGGTATTTGCTGTATCTATACCCACACACGTATATATAGCTAAAGGATGGCAGGCAGCCTAATCCCATGCGTGATCAACAGGTATTTTCGACAGCTAAGAGCTCAGGAAGAGATTGGCTGAAATTAAAGGTGCCGTGACACCGCTGGGGCCCGGAGCTGACAGAGCTGCCCCGGATAAAGGCGGCTGGGAGCAGAGCGGGATGCCGGTGCTCAGCGCGGTGCCGTTCCTGAAGCCCACCCACCCTCAGGGCCCACGCCGTTCTCCCGGCCGCCAGCGCCGGCACACGCTGCCTGCCAGCGAGCTCCGCTGCCTCAGCCCCGAGGATGCCGTCAGCGTGTTTGAGATCGAGAGGGAAGGTAAGGGGCTGCCCACCCCCCCCCCCCCCCATCCCGCCTCATCCCGGAGCCGGAGCTGGGAGCTCAGCGCCGTCCCCTTCCAGCCTTCATCTCCGTCTCCGGTGACTGCCCGCTGCACCTGGATGAGATCCGCCATTTCCTGACGCTGTGCCCGGAGCTTTCCCTCGGCTGGTTCGAGGAAGGGCGCCTGGTGGCCTTCATCATCGGCTCCCTGTGGGACCAGGACCGGCTCAGCCAGGTAAGAGCCGGGCCCAGGGTACGCGGAGCACAGCCTCGGGTTGCCCTGCACGGCCCCGCTAACGGCCCCGTTCTCTCCCTGCAGGCGGCGCTGACCCTGCACGAGCCGCGGGGCACGGCGGTGCACATCCACGTGCTGGCCGTGCACCGAACCTTCCGCCAGCAGGGCAAGGGTTCCATCCTGATGTGGCGATACCTGCAGTACCTGCGCTGCCTGCCCTGCGCCCGGCGCGCCGTGCTCATGTGCGAACATTTCCTCGTGCCCTTCTATGAGAAGTGCGGTTTCAAAGCTCTGGGTCCCTGCCAGGTGACGGTGGGCACGTTGGCCTTCACTGAGATGCAGCACGAGGTGCGGGGCCATGCCTTCATGCGCAGGAACAGCGGCTGCTGAGCCCTGCAGCCCAGTTACGCACCAGCCGGGGGGAGGAAGAGGGCAGGGAGCGAATATTGTGAGCCCTCTCCACCCTCACCTCGGCTGCACATCTTTCCCTGCTGGCCCCAGCCACAGCTCCCTGCCCACACATCTGCCTTTTGGCCAAGGGATGAGCGTGGCCCCAGCTCAGCCCTGTGCCTCACTCTCCTAGCGCTGGGGAATAATTCAGCCTGCAAGCACCGAGCCTGCACCCCCCCCCCCTCCCCCCTTCTATAGTTGGGGCTGTGAAGGGGAGCCCAGGAAGGCTGTGCAACCAAAGGATCCGCTAGGGATGGAAAGAGCCTCTGCAGAGCCTGTAAGCCTTGAGCCCCTTGTCCAGGGTCCCCTTCCCCAGCACAGCCCAACACCAGGCATGAGGCCAAGCCCTGCTCTGAGCAGCCCTTGCAGCCACCCCTCACACCCAAAGACACCTTTACAGCGTGAGACTCCCAGGGTGCCCCCCACCCACGGCTACCCCAAATCACACAGCCAGGATCCTCCCTGCAGGGCCAGTCCTGCATGCAGACATCACCTGCCCACAAAGAGCCCTCTGCAAATGCCTTGGTCTATTGTGAAGCAGCAAATAAAGATGCAGTGGTTGTTTTCTACGTGCCTGCCTATCTTTGCCCCCAGCTCCATGCACAGATGGGTCCAGCCAGACAGCCCAGACCCATCCACTGCTTTTTGGGGTTTTTCAGCTTTAAGCAAAGTGGGGCCGATGTGTCCCAGGGTATCTGATGGGGTGATGCTGCCCTTGGGCAGGGAACGGAGGCCCTGTATGTCATTATGCCCTGCCCCAGGAGGGGTTTTTAGAGGGGAAGTAGGGAGAGCATCCCCCTGCAGAGCAGAGGCAGCCCTACTGACTGCTGCCAAACCCCCCACCAAAAGCACAGAGGGAATCGAGGCCTCGTGGATCTCGTTAAATACAGGTAGAAATTTATTCAGGGTCCAAAAAAATTCCACAGCTTTTTTTTTTTTTTTTAAAAAAAAAAGAAGTATCAAAAAAAAAAAAAGACAACTGAGGTGAGGTGCCAATCTTTGGCTGGAGCAGCACCGGAGGAGCAAGGAATGGGGCTGCAGCCGGCCTGCGGCAGAGCAGGGGGGGCACACATGGGGCTGAGACCCCAGCACCTGGATCGTTTTGATGAGGGACTTGTGCTGCTCCTGCGAACAGCGCTGTCACACACAGCACTGGATGTCACCTGCTTACACCCTGAAGGACAAGAGGTGACACCGTGGGTCCAGAGCAGCAGCAGGAGGGGGTCCTGAGGAGCCAAGCCCTGCCTCACCCTGGTGATCCAATAGGAGCCGAACAAAATCACTGGAGTGCTTTCTTCTATTCTTACATACCAGCACAGTGTTCCACTTACAGGGGGAACCTCACTGAGATGAGGGGAAAAAGCAGCACCCCCATCCCACCCAGTGAGGAGCCCACCATGAGGAGCACAGCTTTGCTCCTGAGCCCCTGGGGAGCAAACAGGGGGCTGAAAAATATCTTCAATCCTTAGCTCTGAGTGTGTCAGAGCTGCAAAAAAACCAAACAAACCAAGAGGAAAAAAAAACCAAACCTCCAGAGTCCTCCACTGTGGAAACCACCAGGGTCCCCCCACAGCCCATTCAGGAAAACACCTCCAGCCTCCCAAAATTAAAAAATCCCAAAGGCTGAGAAGTGCTGGAGGACCCCATCCCACTGGGACAGGTTGGAGAAAGGGATGAACCAGAGCGTGGCCACTGAGCCCCTGTAAGCCCCGAGGTGATGGACACGACCAAGAGCCATAGGTACAAAAGCGCCCCTGCAAAAAGGGGGGTTGTGTTCACAGTAGGATTGGCACTGCTGGGCCCGGCTGCTGCCTCACCCCACAAGCTGTCCTGGGGTTAGGAAGGCCTGGAGGCCCCGAGCAGGCCGGTCCCAGCTCCGCAGCCCCTCCGTGGGTCAGTGCAGGACCTGCTCCAGCTCGTACTTCTCGCAGAACTTGCTGGTGAAGGGCAGGCAGGTGAGGTACTCGATCCAGCGCCAGTTGATGGGGTAGACATACAGCCAGATGAACAGCGAGGTGAAGAGGCCCAGGAAGACCAGCAGGGACACGATGATCATGGCCCGCTTGCGGTACTTGTCCATCGTGCCAAAGGTGATGTAGGGCAGGAAGGCAAAGGAGAGCAGCAGGCCGCTGAGGAAGCCGAAGAGGTGGGCAATGTTGTCGATCCAGGGCAGGAGGCCGCAGATGAAGAGGAAGAGGACGATGCCGGAGAGGTTGAGCAAGGCTTTCCACGGCTTCTCCAGCGCTTGCCAGCTCTGGAAGAGCTCCACGAAAAGGCAAGCCAGCAAACCGAACTGAGACCCAGCAGGGCCCACCTGCAAGAGGTCAGACCCCACTTACATCCCCCATCCGGGTTCCCCACGTCCCCAGGGTCTCTCCCCTCACAGGACACATTTGCCGTGGGAGCGCCGGTGCTGTTTTGGCAGAGCCAGGCGTCGGGTACCTCCCACACCACCCCACACAGCAGGGGGATTAAGGCACTCGACGTGATCCCCTCTAAAGCCTGCCAGCTCTGCTGCCAGCAGATTAGCCATCTGCCAGCCCGCACACACCAACACGTGGGGCACCCAGCCCACGTGAGCCCCGCACATGGGGCAGAGACCCCTTCCCCACACATGGCACAACCTGCTAAGGGGTGAGACCTCTGTGCTGGGCTCTGCAGCCCCCTCCCCATGAAGCTCAGGGTGGTGATGCTCTATGCACACAAGCACATTTGCTAAGTGCCCAGCCCAGAGATCATCTTGGGGGGGGAGCAGAGTTATGGGGAGATCCCCCCAGCTCCACAAGCTGCCCTCACCTCTGCCCGGTACGGTAGGAAGATGGCACTGGCCAGATTGCCTGTGATGCCACTAAGGATGAAGATGATGGAGATGCGGAGCCAGCCTGCCAGCTTCTCCAGATCCCGCAGCACCGTCATCTGGAAGGTCACTGACACCAGGCAGTGGATGATGCTGGAGGTGGAGGATCAATGTTAGACTCCTGCCCTACCACAGCCCCTACCCAGCGCTCCCACCCACGAGACAGCTCACAAAGCCGTCCCCCACTGATGGCATGCATTGCTATAGCTTGGGAGTGCTCCCCCATCTCCCCTCCCAACCCATTAGGGACCACAGGCAGGCTGTCCCAAAGGATGCTGCCATCCCAAGCCACCCCCAGTGCCCACAGCCTGCTACTCACCCTGCATGCAGGAACAGGGACAGCCACAGGCGGTAGATCTGGTCGGGGACCTCCGGGTTGAGGAAGGGCAGGAGGCCACAGACTTCATCCAGGCAATGCACCTGGCAAGGCAGACGTGGGTGGGAGGTGATGGGGTGGCAGCCCATCCTGCCGGTGCCAGCACAGTGATGCCCAGCCAGGCAGCTCACCCCAAGCCCCTCACCTGTGAGCAGAGAGTTGCCTCCTCGTGGAAGTAGCCGTGCATGAACTCGCAGTACTCCCGTGTTGTGATCTCACAGCTGGGCAGAAGGCAGGCAGTGGGCTCACCTGGGGCAGGGTGCACCCCCTGCTCCAAGCACCCTCAGTGCAGGGTCCTGTCACTGCGTTTCCCACCCTCAACCCCAGGGCCTCCCTCTATCCCTGGCACAACTCAGGACACCGATGGGGGGGTGCTGAGGAGCACCAGAAGAGCACACAGAACACTGCCCAACCTGCCCCAGGCTCGGTGCCCGCTGGCTGTATCTCACCTGCCCTTGGTGCCGATGCAGCACGGCCTGCCCTTGATCTGGCAGTCCATGTGAGGGAGGCCCGTGTGGTTGGTTTTGGTCTCGTAGGTGCAGATCTATGAGAAGGGAAAGGAGCTGCAGCAGGAGGGCTGCTAAGAGCCCACTACAGCCCCACACTGTGCTTGAGGCTGTCCACTTCCCACAGAGGCTAAGTTGGTGTGGATGGTGGGCACCTCACTAAGAGCTCTTACCGGCCACCTGGTGATGTCATCTGGCCACACATGGGGGGGATTTGAGGCCGGCTCTTCACACGTCCTGGTGACAGGAGAGGATGCGGGGGTCACTGAGAATCTCCTCTCCCCAAGCACAACCCTGCCACCAGTCTGAGGCCAGGCACAAGACAGGGGACCTGCAGCCACCCCTTTAAGGTTCCCAGACTCAGGGAGATCCTTGCATGCTCAATATCCTACATGTAACTTCATTGAGTGTCCCCTTAAGATGTCACGTGTCCCTGCTTATCTCAGCCCAGGGATCGGGGCAGGCAGGGCCAAGCTCAGGACAGCAATGCTCTTCAGGTGGCTTTCTGGCCCACCCATCACACTTAGAACAGACTTCACCTCCACTTCCCCACCAATTCTCTCTTCCTCATCACCACCCCATGGCACGGAAGAGCCACCAACCCCTCGGCCAAACCGACTCCAGGCCTTCAAGCTGCAAACCCCACACAACCCACCTGGGGTCCTGGTGACACACAGCCCCCGACGTGCGCTTCTCACCGGAGCCCATGGTCGGCGTGTTGTTGTTGGGCCACTTGATGAACGTCGCCAGCGTTTCCTGCAGGGATGGAGATGCTCAGAGCGTGGGCATGCAGGAACTGCTCTGCTCCACGTGCATCCCGTGCCCCAGCCGTGCCCGCACCGAGCAGTCCTGCGGCAGTGTTTGGATGCAGCCCGATTTGTCATTCTGCACGCAGCAGCCAGAGTTCCGCTCCCGGTCCCGTTCGCGCTGGATGAGCCGCTCCACCTGGCGGTCCTTCCGGATGCAGGGTGAGAACTTGGCTCCCAGATGGATCAGGTCGATCTGAAAGGAGGGAGTGCTCTGAGGGACGCTCCAGGTCGCGTGCCATCTCCACCTCCCTTCCCAACTGCTGCCCCACTGGTGAGATCCACCCAAATGGATGGACGGCGGGCAGGGGACAGGCTCTCTCCCAAGCACCCACTGTGATGCTTTGGTTCTGGGGAATGCTGCGGAGCCCTGGGAGCAGGCAGGAGGAGCTCATAGAGGGAACCAAAGAGCAGGACAGCAGGTTAGGACTAGGATTACTGCCCTGTAGCTAGGGGAGAGGAGAAGGGAGCACCCCTTGAGCCCCACCTCAGGCTGGCAAATCACTTACCGAGCTGGGCCCGATCCAGAAGTTCTCCTGCTGGATGTACTTGACACTTTCATACACACCTTTGTTCCTCAGCACCTGCAGAATGAGACCAGGGTCACACAGCCAGCTGGGGCCCCATAGTGCCACGTTCCCTCCAACCACCTGCAGGGGCTGAGTCCTTTGACCCTTCTGGGGCTGCATCCCTCACCCCAACAGGATTACCCCCACTATGTACTTGAGGACAACATTCAGGAGTCAGGCACCCAGGAGGGGACAGGCCTGGCTGGGAGCTCTTAAACTTACTAACTCTGTCGTCACGTGCTGGGTGAAGCCAATGGGAGCGATGCCGTAGGTGCCAATGACCAGCAAGGTGATGATGATGTGGACAAAGGTGATCCAGTAGGTGAAATACGGCCTGGGGAGCAAAGGGAACAGGGTCACGGCCCCAAATTGCACCTGGGGAGCCCCAAGGAGCGGGGCTGACCCGGGCGGGCTGCAAGCCGTGCGCTCACCGGTGGCTGTCGGTGATCTCCAGCTGCGACTGCACGATGCTGCTGAGGCTGCGGCGGTACGTCCTGTTCAGACACTGCCCCACCACCCCCAGTCCATAGTAGCGTTTCTTGCGGTCGAAGGCAAAATGCTTCACTTTGGAAGCGATGCGTCTGCCCCTCTGGGGGGCCGGGCCAGCTGAGGCAGCAGCGAGACGGGCACCCTCACGTCTGCAGGGAGAGAAACCCATCAGCGAGGTAACAGCCCGGGGGCTGCCCTGCTCATCCCGAGACCCCGGAACGGGAGCTGGGGAAATTTCTTGGCTTCGTCCTTGTAGCAGCATGCTGGATGTGCCCAGCGCCCTACAGCAGGGACGGGTGGACATGGTATTGGCTGGGGGGAGGTCAGGGCAGGGGGCTCGGGGTTGGCACTCACAGTGCGGTCTGCTCCACCTCTGGGGATGCCCTGACATCCTCCCCCACCGAGTGCATGCGTAAATACGTGGCTGAGAGTGGTGGTGACTCGAAGACGTCATCTGGCATGGAATAGGTCTCGTCGTGCGTGTCCATCTGGAAGGAGCACGGAAGGGAGGGGGACCACAACGTGATCCCAATGACCACACACCACAGCCCATGTGAAGCGCCCACGATCCCATCGCCAACGATTATCACTGAGTCCCTGCAGTGCTGGACACAAAACCCACTGATGCCCTTGCTCTTGGGGTGGGGATAAAGCACAGACACCAGGGGCCCTTGGCACACGCAGCTCCAAATACAGCCCAAACCCCATTTGGGTAAGAGACCAACCCTGGACCATGCTAAGAGCAAAGGAGGTGGGACAAACAGGGCTGCCCAGTGAGCCACTGTCCCAGTCAGAACGCTGCTCAGCCCCACGTGGGGCACTGGGACCCCCCAGCTCCAGCAGTAGGGGTGGAACAGTGCTTGCCTTACTGAAGAAGGAGGAGTCCAGCGTGTCAGCGGTATCCACCACGTCCTCATCCATGAAGCTGGGGTACATGAAGCTCCTCTTGGTGCTCCTCTGCTTCTCAGTCAGAGGCTCCAAGACAGAGCGGCCCTATGGCAGGGGAAGCAAATGAGGGTAAGGAACACAAAGCCTCAGCGCTGCAGAAAGTAGGGGGGCTTTGTCATAGCCACCTCCAAAGCCCAGCAAGTGGTGGCAAACATTAAATGCCAACCACGGCCCCGTGCTGAGGTCACGCAGCTGCCTGTTGCTCCGGAGAGCCATCAGTGCTGGGCCATGGCTGTGACAGGTGGCACAATTCTAAATCTCATTTTAGGTCTCTGCCCCTAAATCTCCTGGAGACCCATCTCCAAGGCTTGCAGGGGACTCCCCAGGTGACAGAAAGTGCCAGAGAAACTTCCCCTGCAGCAAAAGGTTGCTGGCTTGACACAAAGGCTGCTATTTTCGAGGGACGGCGTGTGAGACAGTTCCACTTTCTGATCCACTTTCCACCAGAACTTCTCTTTTTAAGGTTAAAACCCACCACCTCCCCCTCCCAACACGCAGCAGAGTGCAACAACCGTCTTTGTGCAAAGCAAAAAGCCAAGAAACGAAGACAACAGAGGGCTGAGAAGTGAACCAAGAGGACAATCCCTTTCCCCAGCACTCACACGGAGCAGCGCGGCGGCCGCCCTGAAGCTCATGTGCGCCACGGAGAGCCTCTTGCGGCGCGGCAGGCGGCTGTAAGCAGAGCGGGCACTGCCCAGGGATGCCAGCGACGTGACACCAGGGGTGTGGGGGGGCAGGACGTGGTGGGGCGTATGGGGACGGTCGGTGTCATCGGGGTGGCGGAAGGGACGGCCCCTGGCCAGAGGGTCCACGATCTGGAAGAGGGAGAGGTGTGTTGGCGATGGGGAAGGGCCGGCGGGCTGTCCCCGTGCTCCAAGCTGTACCTTGGGCATCTTGGCCGGTTTGGGTGACTCGGTGCCTTGGAAGGAGGGCACCTCCTGGCTGGGCAGCTCCATGTCGCGATAGGCAGCCTTCAGTTTGCCGTACCTCATGCTGCAGTGCTGCAAGCTGCGGCGCTGCCAGTGCTGCCGCTTCCCCTCCCAGTCGCCGCTGACGCCGAACCATTCTGCCGTGCCCCTGGGTGTGTGATGGATGCACTCCAGCAGCCGCTCAGCCCCCCGCTGTCACCGTCCCACCCTGCCCTCCCTCCAGCTGGGGATTGGAGCTCGGTGGCTCAGCACGGTGCTGACAGATCTGTGGGTCGGGGCAGACGGGTTGCTGCTCCACTAAGCCTAGCTGAGACATCCTGTATCAGGATGCACACAACTCGAGGCATTTGCTCCTACAGCACCAAGACATTTTCACAGCCAATTCTACCACGTGCTCATCCAACAGCTGAGCCACGTGGCACCCATCGAGGCTTTCCCTTGGGCTGGTGCCCACATCCCTGCCATGGACACCCCCCACGTCCTCACTTGCGGATGCTCTGGGACAGAGATGTCTGTCGGCGGAAGCCCGGCCGCCGCTCCGAGTTCTCACATCCCTTTGAGCGCGGCTCCTGCAGGCTCTTGCTCTTCCGATAGATGGGCACCTTGGAGGGCTGGGAGGCAGAGCACAGGGTTATGGAGCACAGAGGACAACGATAACCAAACCCCACGTGGGACGGAGAAGTGCCTCCCAGAGCTCACCTCCTTGTGGGTGCCGTCCTCCTCCGCCTCCCGGGGCGGGGGGATCACGATGGAGAGGTTGGGGGGCTTCTTGCTCTGCAGGCGGCTGCTGCTGGAGCGGCTGCTCCCATTCTTGTTGCTGGATGCCATCTTGAGTGGGTGGCAGGCTGCGGGGGGGAGCAGGGAGTGAGTGGGGGAAGGCAGCCACAGCCCTATTGCTGCATCCCTTCCTCCTGTTCTCTGCAGGATAAGTGCATCGGTGTGGAAATGGCAGCAGGAGCATTAATGTTAATGGGGCTCTGCCTGAGGGGAACCCCAGAGGGAAGGGAAATGCTGCAAGCACTTCCCCCCCCTCACTGGGAGGGATGTGCATCGCTCTCTTCTGATGGCTTACAGCTACCTGGGAGACCCCGCAGGGCAGCACTGAGGCATCCCAGACAAGAGGAAAGCCCCAAGGCTGCGTCCCCAACACCTCCTGGCCATAGCATCAGCACAATACCCACGGCACTGGGCATGCAAAGTGTTCCCCTCATGCCCATGTTGGGCTCTTGGCCAGCAGGACAAGGCAGAGCACACCAAAATCTGCCCAGCGCACAGAGTGGGGGCTTAACAGCCAGGAGCAAAATCTTTGGGCAACCCCTTCCTGAGAGTCCCCCTGCAGCTCTGCAACACCAGGCAGAGCCTCACGAGTCAACAGGGAAAAGTAATCCCATCTGAGCACAAGGGAGCAGTCCTAAATCCTATTAGGGACTGTGGGCTCCTGCTGGGATGGATGCTCAGCCCCTTGGCCTCTCACCATCCACGTGCACCAAGGGCACCTGCCCAGGGCTCGCTGCTGACAGGCATTCCCCCGTCCTGCTTGGTGTGTCCAACAGATGCCAGAGTCCTGCTGAGGGGCAGCCATGAGACAGCAGGATCAATGGCAAGGCACCCTGGAGTACACCTGCACCCTGCTCTGATCCCTTTGGGCTGCTCCTCCCCACCACTGGCCTTAGGAGCTCGGTGTCCCATGGGATGAGCTCCTTGAGGACGCTGGCACTAGAGGGCAGCCACTACCCAGCACAGCCCCATGCTGCAGCCCAAACATGCAGGGCTTAAACCCAGCACTGCTGTCCCATAGAAAAGGGCAGAGGGCTTAGAGGGCTCCCTTTCCCCAGTTATCCCACTCTCCACCAGTCTCGATGAGGCTGCAGAGGGTAACTGATGGAGAGAATCTGGATGGGAAGAAGAGAGGCACCACTGCCACAAATGTGATTAGAATCAGATGTTTGAAGCCCCCATCTCAGCCTATCTGGGATGCTCCTACCTCATAAGCGTGGCAGGGATCCCATGCAGTGCGTCTCAATGGACTCCTTCTCCCTTCTCCTCTGTCCTTCACGCATGGGAGTCCCAGGGCATGGCTGAGGTTCTCTTGCTCTGCCTGGTGGGACTGGTGCTGCAAGAGAAAAGCAGGAGTGAGAGATCAGGTCCAGCCTGCAGAAACCTTCCTGGGAGAAGCTTTGGGGACAGGGCTGTGAAAGGAAGCAGAAGCACTGGGGTAAGGGCAGCGCCATCCAAAAACATCAGGGCAGGATGCTGGGACAAAGCCACAAAGCCACACCGCTGCATGGCTCTGGGCAGCCACAGGACATGGGGGATCATGCTGCGGTCACTGGCACAGAGTGAGGGAAAGCCACTGCACCTGGCACCTTGGCAGAGACAACACAGGGCTGAAGGGGAATTTTTTCACCCAAAGCTCTCAACAGAGTGAGAAAAAGAGCAGCAAAGAAACACAAGTGCTGTGCAGAGGTATTTGATGACTGCTGAGCTGGGAAGGCGCCAGCCAGGCGGTCCGGCCCCAGCAAGTGAAACTTTCCATCTCACTGGGGAACTGCAGATGCTGTTTGTTTTCCTCCCAGGGTAGCCAGCAATGAGGCAGAGGTGCCAGCTGCAGGCAGGGCTGGCTCCGGGGAGCCTGAGGAGATGGGGGCAGGGATATGCTGGGCACAGGGACACGCAGCTGTGGGTGCTGCTATGACCACCAGCATCCCTCATGCTGCCCCTACCACAGATGCACTCAGCACAGCAAGCAGCACACAGGGGAAACAGAGGAGAACCTGGAACCAATGCTGCTGTTTGGCGATGCGAAAGGAGCGGTGCTGTTTGTGCCCCTGATCCCATCACTAATTGCTCCATCAGACTCCCACACAGCTCCAGGTGAGAACCTTAATGCTCTCCGGGGAAGCACATTTGCAATGCACCCAACCACTGAGTGCCTCCCACGCAGCGTGGGAGCAGCAGTTGGGCAGCTGTACCCCATCCAGCACCTGCAGGCCTGATCATGTGGCCAGAGCACTTTTCACGGCTCCTTGAATTAAAGCAATGCTTGGCATCCAGAGAGCAGGAAGAGGGGAGCAGCCCCTGCCAGCTAAGTCCCCTGGGTTATCCAGGCACAGGGCTGGGCAGCATCCATCCCACGAGGTGTGGGAAGTTTCACCCCACGCCAGCAAAAAGCCTCTGGGATGGGGCTGGGAATGCATTTATCCGTTCCCCTACACTCTTGGCACTGGCATGCAGCCCTTCAAGTGCTGGCACAGCTCTCACTCAGTGTGCTCAGCGTGAGAACAGGCAGCCTGAGCCCGAAACAAGCTGCAAGGAGCTGCAGCCACAGCCAGCACAGCCCTTCACCCTCCAAAGCACGGCACAGAGGGGTTTGTCAGCGCTGTGGGGCCCAGTCTTGCTCACCTCAGGGTCACCCATGTGTCCCCATGGGGGCCAGGCAGGAGAATTTTGCCTTCACCCAGCGAGGGCTGGGGCTCTGGGCTGAGCCACGAGAGATGCTGACCCAAGGAAACACACCCAGAGAGGAAAGTGGTGGAAAAAGTGACGCAGCTCACACATGGCATCAGCACAGGGCGATGCCAGGATGCTGTGAGCAAGGAACCAGAGCAAAGGGACTGGCAGCAGTACCACGCACCAACCCCCAGAGCCCCCATACAAGACACTGCTGACACCCCTCTGAGGCAGCCCTGCAAAGAGCCGTTCCATTAACAGAGCACCACAACACCAGCATGCCATCAATGATTCAGGAGCACACTGAAGCTGCCCATCAGCACTGGAGCCTCGGTTGCACTGAGATAAAGAGCTGCCTTCGCCTTGCCAAGCAAACCTCTTCAATCTGCCCAGCACCTCCATGGACTCCCCAAGTCCAAACCTAAAACCCAAAGCTAAAACCTTACCGAGAGCAGCAGAGCAGGAGCCTGACAAGTTCCCTGGGTGCGCAATTGGGAAACTCTCCTCACTTTCCTTCTGCCTATTCCCACAGCAAGCAGGACGTTGGGCAACTGCCGCGTGGTTTGTTCATCCCGGATGAGTTTCAGGCACTCGGCACACCCTGGAAGGAAGCAAAACCACGCGGCCGAGATAGAGGCACCAACCCACGGAGCGTGCTGGTGGCTGTGATAACGCTGAGCCAGCTTTCCTCCTCCCCCCTCCCATCTGCACGCAGCTCGGGCATTGGGTGAGGAGGCGAGGGCAGATGGGCAGCATGGCTGTGCGTTGGGGCACCTCCCCATGGCACAACCCTACAAGAGCACAGATCCCCCCTCAGGACCACCTCCTCCCCACAGCAGTGCTCCCAGGAGCTGTGTTTCTCCGGGTTTCCTGAGCCACTATCTGCACGGAAAGGGAAGGACTCGCCCACAGTAGCTGGATGGGGATCTTCCCAGCCCACTTCCCAAGGCACATTCATTCCCAGCACGTTCCCCTCTACCCAAGGAGTTGATACCCAAACACCCCCCAACCCATTGCAAAAAGGCTCTGCTCTTTGTGATCCCATCTGCAGCTCCACGTCCTCGCCATACACGCACCCCAACACCACGTGCAGCACAGATTTCCCAAGCTGCTGGGCTTCATTAACCCGGCTCAAGCACAATTCTTCAGAGCTTCCTCAATTCCTGGTTGGGCTCTGGGTCCCCCTGTGCAGGGTATGGCTCTGCAGAGCAGGGAATATCAGGGCTTTCCCCCAGCTCGCTCTCACTTCCCCAGATGCAAAATTCTTTGTGTGGGAGGGCAAAGGGCAGACGCTCATTCCTCCACATCTGCAAAATGCTGCTGCTTTGAGAGCTGCTCTTGGAAAGAGCACGCGGCCAGGATCTGCAAACTCCCTCAGCACTCTGCTCCCGGGAGAAACGTCCTGCTGGGGTCCCTGTGTTTGCTGGGGATTTCTCCTGAGCTCAGAGCATCACCATGGGATGCGACAGCAGGAGGTGATGCTCGGTCCTGTGCAGAAATTCCACCCACCCAATCATGAGATAACTGTGGGCATTCAGTGCAGCCCTCACCACGGCCAAACAGTGAGGAGAGCTGCTTGGCCCCAGGCTTGTATCTCCTGGAGCAGAATGCTTATCTGCACACAGCCACCCCCAGGCTTGTGTCACTGTCCCACCACTGCACGCACACCCACCCCTCCTCCAAAGCATCAGCCGGTTCTGCAGCCTCATCATCTGTCCCAAATTCCATCCAAGAAGGTTTATCCCACTCCTCCCCAGTGCAAGACCTGCATTCTCCACAGGAAAGCCCAGCTGGGAGCAGTCCACCCTGTCCCACACATCCCATCCAACGCAGCATGAGCAGAGAGCACACAGCACCCAAACACAGCAACACCACACGATGCTGTGCCCCCATCCCAGCCCCACTCCCTGCTGTGAGCTGCCAAGCCCTTCCCAGGCCCAGCACCCCTCCTGCACATCATAGCAGCGTGCCAGGAGCACACTCTGCAGCCTCTCGGGTGCCAAGAGCCGTTGCCTTCCTCCTCCTCAAGCTGGTGTGGTCCCAGTATTCACTTACCCATCCCTCCCCAGGGATGCTTTGCCATTCATTCCCATCTCCCAGCTCCTTGCTGGCGCACAGGCTGCACCCACAGGGCCCCCACCTGCAGCACGCTCACTCCCAGCCCTCCCCCCAGCTCCAGCATTCCCACAGCCAGCGAATTACAGGGATAACCCAGCCAAATCCCCAGCACAAGCTGCTGCATGACGCACGGCGGCACCTTGGAGCTGGGCAGCATGAATGCGTGGACACAGCCCTGCCCCGAGCTGCTCAGCACTGGGGATGTGATGGCACCATCTATGGGGAAACCCACAGCTCCCAGCCAACCTGCTGTCCCTTGGTACACAAGGCAGCCCCCGTGATGGGGTCACGGATGGAGCTGAGCCTCGCTCAGCCCGTTCTCCCCATGCACACATCAATGCAGCCCCATGCTCAGCATGTGGCTTTGCACCCACGCCTGCCCCACGGATGTGGCATTTTGCAGGTGGGGAAACATGAGGCAACGTCTTAAAATGAGCTGCCCGCTCACAGACATGGAAATTTCAGAGCAAAGTGAGGGCAGCGAGGTGTGGGCAGGCAGCAGGGGAGGTGTTGGGACCCCCCACACAAAGGCTGAGCCCACGGCCCTGCTGCAGTGCAATTATGTGAGAAATAGAATCATAGAATGGCTTGGGTTGGAAGGGACCTCAAGGATCAGGAATCTCCAACCTCCCCTGCTGCATGCAGGGCCACCAACCTCCACATTTAACACCAGCCCAGGCTGCCCAGGGCCCATCCAACCTGGCCTTGAACACCTCCAGGGATGGACGGGGCATCCACAGCCTCTCAGGGCAGCATTCCAGCACCTCACCACTCTCATAATGAAGAACTTCCTCCTGACATCCAACCTAAACCTTCCCTCCTTCAACTTCAAACCATTTCCCTTTGTCCTGCCATTATTTACCTTTCAAAGAGTTGGCTCCTCTCCTGTTTATAGTCTCCCTTTAGGTACTGGAAGGAGCTAGAGTGAGAACGGCAAGGCTTTGCATGATGCTTGCAAGAAAAAGCACAGCTCTCAGCCCTACTCAAAGGCTGGGGAAAAGATTGTGACCCCAAACACCAAAAGATTCCCAATGACCCTAAAGCCTGGCTTTCAACACCACTTTGCTGACATCCCCAAGCCCAACAACCACTGGACAAAAGCTTTTCCAAAGCAAAAAGTGACGTGGGCTGTACGGATTTAAGAGAAGTAATGTGGTCTCAGCCTTCAATAATTTACTCACATTGTGCAAACCCCCTGCAGCACAAAGCCCCCCCCCCCAGAGAACACAAAGGAAGAAGGGGCTGCAGGGACATCCAGGTGGGGTTGGCTCCAGCTCTGTTTGCATAAGAGAAGTTCTGAGGGTTTCTGCTGAGCAAAGTGAGGTCCGCTCACTGCTCCCCACCTCCTCCTTCAGCCCTCAGAATGGATTTGGAGCCGAACGCCTCCAGGGTTGTTTCCCAAGGGAAGGATGCAAGCGAGGCTTCCTTGAGTTTACACCAAGTTAAACAGGAGTGACATCAAAGGTAAAAAAAAACCAACAAAACCAACCAGCAGCCCTCAGACAGAGGACAGCCACGTGCTGCAGCCAAACAATGCGAC